AGTCTTCCTAAGAGAAAAGGAAGACTTTTGATACTTGAGATGCCATGGTAAAAGGACCAGTGATTCATCATGATTCCATTTAGTTATAAAACTAAGACTAAATTATAACTGAAATGAAGTTTACAAAACACAATGCAAATGTTACAGATTCTCACAATATGAACATTTTTTTTTAATTGGGGCTGGGTGTACTGGCTCATGCCTGTAATCCCAGCACTTTGAGAGACTGAGGTGGGAGGATGCCTTGAGCCTAGGAGTTTCAGATCAGCCTGGGTAACATATGAGACCCTAACTCTACCAAAAAAAAAGTTAGCTGGATGTGGTGGTGCATGTCCATAGTCCCAACTACATGGGAGGCTGAGGTAGAAGGGCTCCTTGAGCCTGGGAGGTTGAGGTTACAGTGAGTTGTGATCATGCCACTACACTCCAGCCTGGGTGACAGAGTGCAACCCTGTCTCCAAAATTAAAGAAATATAAAATAGACCAGGTGCAGTGCCTCATGCCTGTAATCCCAGCACTTTGGGAGGCCAAGGCTGGAGGATCACCTTAGGTCATGAGTTTGAGACCAGCTGGGACAACATAGTGAAACCCCATCTCTATTAAAAATACAAAAATTAGCCAGGCGTGGTGGTACATGCCTGTAATCCCAGCTACTCAGGAGGCTAAGGTAGGAGAATTGCTTGAACCCAGGAGGTGGAGGTTACAGTAAGCTGAGATTGCACCACTGCACTCCAGCCTGGGGTGACAGTGCGAGACGCAGTCTCAAAAAATAAATAAATAATAAAAATTGGGATATAAGTAGAAGTGAAACTATAGGTGGTATAAAAGTGCCCAGTACTCAATCCTTTTTTCTTTTTTTCTGAGACGGAGTCTTGCTCTATGGCCAGGCTGGAGTGCAGTGGTGCAACCTCGGCTCACTGCAACCTCCACGTCCTAGGTTCAAGTGATTCTCCTACCTCAGGCTTCCGGGTAGCTGGGACTACAGGCATGTGCCACCACACCCAGCTAATTTTTGTATTTTTAGCAGAGACAGGGTTTCACATTTGGCCAGGATGGTCTTGATCTCTTGACCTTGTGATCCATCTGCCTCGGCCTCTGAAAGTGCTGGGATTACAGGCGTGAGCCAGTGTGCCCGGCACTTCTATCCTTTATAATAGGGAGCCTCTGTCTAAATTAATGTATGTTTAAAAAAATCTTGATCTCAAGATGTATTCAGAATCTTTTCTCTTAGGAAGACTTGTTTAGAACCTGTTAACTCTCAGGATGAAGAAACATTGATGTCAAGTTCAGCAATTCCGTCACTTTCACTACATCTGTTAAAATATCATAATTTTTATATTTTAAAAGCATCTATAGTATCATTCTGTTAAAATAAAAACTTTAGATAAATTAAATTTAACAGTTTATCTGAGCAATGAACAATTCACGAGTCAGGCAGCACTCAGAACGAGAAGAGGTCCACAGAGCTCTCTATCCAGCAGCATGAGCTGCTGCTGGAGAGTTTTTATGAACTAAGCACAGAAGTAAAAAAGCAAAATCACTCGATTGGCTACAGCTCTGCATCTGCTTTATTTGGGCATGGTGTGATGAGTTGGCCATCTGTGATTGGCTGAAATCTAGCTATTACAAAAAATATACTCTTGAGTTAGATTTGTTTGTTTATGTACAAAGTTAGTTTTTCACATAGGACCTCAAACTAAGGGGAAAGCTTCAGGCTAAGGGCCTCCTTCTTATTTAACAATTCTATTTTTATAAAAGCATTTCTTTTTAATCTATTGACATATCTTTGTTTGTTTGTTTGAGACAGAGTCTTGCTCCATTGCCCAGGCTGGAGTGCAGTGGTGCAATCTCGGCTCACTGCAACCTCTGCCTCCCAGGTTTGAGCAATTCTCCTGCCTTAGCCTCCAGAGTAGATGGGATTACAGGCTCGTGCAACCACGTCTGGCTAATTTTTGAGATGGGATTTCACCACATTGGCCAGGCTGGTCTCAAACTCCTGATTTCGGGTAATCCGCCCACCTCAGCCTCCCAAAATTCTGGGATTACAGGCATGAGCCACCCAGCCTGGCCAACATATCCTATTTGTATAAATGCATAGAAAGACATATGCAGTGATTTTCACTTCATGTTAAAGATGAATATTTCCTGATGGTGAGGTAGAAACTATTTTTACCTTTTTAAAATTATCTGCATGATTTGTATTCTTTATAATGATTCTGGGAAACAATACAGTGATTTAAAATTAATGTAAAAATTTTAAATATAAAAATTTTTTTAAAAATCCATGGACCCAACAACCAGAATTAACAAACATCAACATTGTCATATTTTCATTACATTGTTTCATAATAAAGAAAAATTCCACACACAAAAATTGAAGGCTGCCATGGATTGTTCTCTAGGACCAATCTCTGCCCATCCACCCCCTACATAGTACATAATTTATATTTCTCCATATGTAAATATTCACTAATTTTAAAAAATACAATGTAAAATGAAATTTTGGTCTAGAAAAAAAGTGTGGGTTTATTTTTCAGATTCACACTTAAATTTTTTTTCTGATGAATAATTTTGAACAGAGACAAAAACAGAGGAAATAGTATACAATAAATTCCCAAATACCTGTTGCTCAGATTCAACAATTATTGATTTTGCCACACAGAATTTTTGAAATTAAAAGCAAAAGCTTTTATCTACAATTCAGCTGCAATTTGTTCAGCTACAAAACAAACACCTTCCAAGGAAGGCAGGAAGAACCAAGATTACCTGTGCTCTTTCTCTGCACCAAGTACTAGTTCCTACAAACACAGACACAGTTAAGAGTCAAAGCAACTCTGAAACCTACATATTATTATGAGCATTGCTCAGAGTGGAAAATGAAGCTCAGAGGGATGGAGATTTTTCTTCAAGCTTAGCCACTTGCTTGTCCTTCCAATACTACCCCACATCCCTTCCTTTATGATCCCATCCTAGCCAATTTCAGTGTGCAAGAGTCACAGGGGGTTGTTATTCTGTTGAGAAACAGAAAATAAGAAGGTCTCACTACAAGTCTATGTGAATTAATTCCTGGATTCTCTGGGTTGGAGGAGGACCCAGCATTTTTATACGTAATTTAAGTCAGGAACTTTTGGTTATTTATTTATTTCATTTAGAAAACACCTAATTAATTTTCCCTGTAAGACTTTTTCTTATAACTACTTAGAAAAACGAGAGAAGCATGTTCTCTCTTCCTTTAAAACAATCTAATCAGTGATTCAAGATACTCTTCTATTAATTGGAGGGAAATTCATTCTCTTGAGAGAGCTCATAATCCCAGCTGACCAATGACCATAATTAGAAAAAGTGATCTCAACTGCAGTTTACAGACTTTGAGATCTATCATGGATATTTCCCAAGCAGTTTTGAAATCTCTTGCCTGCTATGCTGCTTATGTGTTATGCTCACATACTGTAGCAAATGCTTCATAACATTCTTAATTTTTCCTGGAGACTTTCAAAATAAGCAGGCATCAGTACTCTAGAGTGTCAACCCTATTAGTCAGTCTTGCGGTGAAAAGTATGGGATTTTGGTTTCCCATGATACATTTTTATTTAATAACTTAGAATGTAATCATTTAGAAGCAGAGGATGCACAATGATTCAGCTGTTTTGAGAGACTGATACGATTAAAGAAACTCAACTATCAAATGTTTCCCATTTAAATGTATAAAATTTTAAGGACAGAGAGTTATCTTAGATTTCAATTAATATTTGTATCCCAAACTCCTGAAGACACACACACAGACACACGCACACACAGAGACACACGCACACACACGCACGCACACACACACAGATTTTCAGGACAGAAAAGAAAAAGAACCTCAGAGACATCTGGAATCTGGGATCAGCCAGAACTCTTCATTTTGCACATTCTGTCTCATGTAGTTCTTGTTGGTTTTCTATTGTCACAAAGAACAATGCCAAGTTATTGTACCCTGACAAGGGGATATGTTCATGCAACAGTCCGATGAATTAAAAACAAGGGGAAAAAACCAGCCACTAAACTTAGTATGAATAGGCAACAATAATTTTTTAAGGCTGCTATAAAACTCAACTGCAGTTTGTAGGCTTGCAAATTCAAAATATCTAAGTACTGCAATTAAAGTGAAAAGTCAGGAAGCACGGAAGTTTAGTAAATCAAATTGCGTTCAAAAGTGGGCTTCGAATTCTACTTTTCCATTTATTAGTTACAAACAGAGTTTTTCACTTTCTGCAAATGTCTTCTGGCTAAATTTCTGGCACTGCCCTTCTTACTGTATTTTGATTTTTGTCTTTCATCTTTGCCTAAAATACCCTAAAAAAGATACCACTGTAACCGACCTTCGTGATAAGACAATTTCGTGGTAGGCAAATTTCTTTTTTGGCAGGGGGATCCCCAAATAGAGAAAACAGGGCAGCGCGACCTTCCTATCTCCAACTCTGTGAGAATAGCGTGAGAACACTGACCCCAGTCAGGCCCGTTGCTTACAGGCGGGGAAAGGAAACTCCTGGCGGTGACAGGGCTTCCCCAAGGTGAAACCCAAGACTGTCAGGGCCCCTAGGAACGGCTTTTCTCCCTCGCAAACCTGGACTGTTTATGTGGGATCCATGGTGCCTGGGGCCAGTGTAGGACCTGCGGGAGAAGATCTGGGAGGAAGATTCGCCCGGAAGCCTCTAGGGCAGATGACTAGCGTTCTCCAGGGGTCGGCGCGGGCGGGAACCGCAGCAAAGGACCCCCAGCCCTCCGAGCAGCGGCGCCGCCGGGACCCCGGACCCCGGGGGGCGCGGAGTTGGCGGGAGCCGGGCAGGGAACGGCGCGGGCAGCGCAGGAACGCCGGGTAGCCAGACGCAAGCGCTCGTGGGGGACGGCTGCCCCGGTGAAGCCGCGCCCGCTAAGTTGCCCGAAGCGGCCGCGAGGTGCGAGGGTGCGGACAACTCCGGAAGGCGGCGGCCGCAGCGCCCCCGGGCTCACCTTCTTACCTGTCCTTCCCGGCCCTGCGCTGAGCTCCCGCCGGGCGTCCGCAGAAGTTTCCCGGCGGAGCGCGCTGGACCCGGGTGGCCCGCGCCGAAGCCCTCAGCGCCCGCCTCGCGAGTCCCTTATTGTCCACCCCGCCGCGCCGGGCGCAGCGTGACCGCAGTCAGCTCCGGAGCGGCGCGGCGGCGCGGGCGGGGGCTGGGCACGGACGCGCGCCCCGGGGGCGCAGCCGGGTAGGCGGACGCGGGGGCCGCGTCTGGGCCGGGGCAGGCGGTGCGGCCACCGGGGTGCGGGGCCGCAGAGAATCCTAGCCGTTGCTACGGACCAAAGTTTCCAAAGATGCGCTTCCCGGAGTGTACCGCTCGAGGTTGTAACATACACCTAATGTTCGCTGTCACACTGGGCAGGAGCGATGCGCTGGCTGCTGAACCGCGTAACCGCACGCCGGCCCTCTCACCCCCGCTTCACACACACAGTAAACAAAATGAAGAGGTAAATCACCAGAGTGGGGACGGGAATATTTGGGTGTATTGGACAGAGAAAGGGCAATACGATATCTTTTTTAAATGTTTTATTTTTAGAGATGGGGTCTCACACAGTCACCCAGGCTGGAGGGCAGTGGAGTGCGATCACCGCTCACTTGACCTCCTGGGCTCAAGCATCCTCCTGACTCGACCTCCTAAAGCTTGGTATTGCAGGTATGAGGCACCAACAATGAAATATCTGTATTCAAATCAGTGAACATCTCAAAAACCAAATGAGTAAAGGGTATAGACAATCATAAAAGGAAAAAATTTAAAAACACAAATGACAAGAAAAAAGCTCGAATCAGTAATAACCAAATACATACAATTTTAAAGCAATAATTGGGTGCATTTTTTCTTCCTTTGCAATTAGCAAAGTTTTGTTATTTTTGTGTGAAACAAATGTGGGGGTTGGTGATGACCTGTAAAACAGGCCACTAATTTAAGAATTTTATCTCCTTTCTTCTAGCTCACTTTCCTTTTATATAACCATATTGGTAACAGTGACTCCAGGAACAAGCATTTACTGAGCAATTAGTGTCTCTTTGGAGCCTCAGGGTAACCACAAAAACAAGGAATATAGATGGTAAAGTTAACTCCCTTTAATTGATGCTGGAACTGAGGATCAAGAAATACACATCTTGTTACACCCCAGAAATGGCTAGAAACCACCTGATCCTAGGCCTTCACTCTTACTCTTCACTTGAGGGATTTGCTCAAATGTTGGAAATCCAGTTTAAACTGGATGTAGTCCATGGTGTGTGTGTGTGTGTGTGTGTGTGTGTGTACCTTTAAACCGTGACCAGGGAAGTAAGAAGGCCATGAGCTTTGAGGTCAGATGTTCTCTGGTTTAGATTTTACTTGTTTAGTGTCCTACATTTTAAAAATTCAAGGATTATATTACAGTTATTTCTAATTTAAAAACTCAGAAGCTGTTACTGTTGCCCTGGGTTCTTATGATCTCCCATGATAGAGATTAAAAGAAATCACCAAACATAGCAAAGGAAAGTTTATTCAGCTTGTGCACAAGGGAGTCAGCACTAAGAAAGGAAAAGGAGAGGACTGCTTTCTGATGGTAGTGTGTGGGTGAGTTTCATAGTGTCTTTCTGTAGGGAAAGGTTACATCAGGGCACGTTTAGGAGAAGTTTCCTTGTCCTTGCACAGTGGCCCAGTATGCTTTTTCATACATCATATGTAGTATTAGCATTTTAAATCTCTACCCCAGGAGTTATTTATAGCATTAAAGTGAGAAAGGGGTAACTGTAAGTTGGAGTTTAAGTCTAACTGTGCAGGTGAGGATCTGGGGAAGTCCCTAGCCCTCTTAAACAGGAGCTTGCAGTTAACAGTTTCTTAGGTCTGTTACCGATTGACTGAGAGTTAGATAAGCTAGAGCTTGAGTAAGGAGCTTTTATCCTTTTTCACCACCCCATCTTAAAATAGCTTCCCTGTCTCAGTGCAACTGAGATATGCCTGTGTGACAGGTTCTTCAGTGGCCCCAATGGTTTCTGATTCCCAGTTCCTCTTCATGTTCATACCTGTATTAGATCCCCTCCTTCTAAGAGGGGTTGGGACCTGTGACTTGCTTCTGAAAATAAATATAACAAAGGTGACCGATGTCACTCCCATGACTACATTACATTATAAAAGACTCTTTTATGAACAGACTCTCTAGAGACTGTCCTGTCTGTCCTGATGGAAGTCAGTGGCCATACTTGGGAAGTCCACATGATGAGGAACCATGGGCAGTCTCTAGGAGCTGAAAGGCAGCTTCCAGCAAATAGCCAGCAAGAAGTCCTACAAACTCCAGGAAATGAATTCTGTCAACAGACTAAGTGAACTTGGAAGTAAATTCTTCCCCAGTGAGTCATCCACATGAGAACACAGACCAATGACACCTTAATTGCAGCTTTGTGAAACCCTAAGCAGAGGATTCAGTTAATACATGCCTGGACTTGTAAATGCACCCCACCCCCTCCAAATTGTGAGAGAATATATAGAGTGCAACCCCTCATTGAAAATTTTATGTTAAATACTTCTGTCCTGCTGCATTCGGATTTTTCTTTCTTACCCCTTCATGTACATTTTCCTGCCTTGATCATGGCTATGTTCTCTTTCTCTGTATCCCTCATTTTTGTTATTATACATTTTATTATTCAAGTAATACATGAATATAATGTGATATACTAAGGTATATTGCTTCACATTATACTGTATCTGTCAACTATCTTTTCCAGACAACAAAGTACCTTGGAGTTCATTTATCTTTTCACATTTATAGTATATATAAAATTCTTCTTTTAATTGACTATATACTGTTATATTATCAGTGTGTCTACCTGAAATAATGGAAATGATCAGAATCCAGTATTTTTTTTAACTATTGTATGCACTGATTTTTTTTCCCCAGGGAAAATGTTGTAAAGGTAATTTATAGGAAAAGTAACCCGTACCTATTTAAGAGCAGTAAAGCCATTCATTGGAGTTTCAAAGTTGTACATTTATAATAAACTCATAGTAAATTCATTCCTGACCACTGATTTTTTAAAATAGTTTCACTTTTTTTAAGAGAAAAAAGAAAGGAAGAGAAAGAAAGAAAAGAAAAAAAGAGAGAAGAAAAAGAATGAAAGAGAGAAAGAAAGAGGAAGAGAAAGAGGGAGAGAGAATGGGAATCTTGCTCTATTGCCCAGGCTAGAATGCAGTCTAAAAATGGGTATTAAAAACCTCTTTTATGCCAACAAATGTGCTTAACAATGGAGACATGAAGGAATAAGGGATGAAAATAACAAACAAGCAGCCAACCATATTTCATTTAAACCTGTGAAATGCTATGCAATTGCTGAGGAGTGATTTACTTCCAATTATGTGGTCACTTTTAGAGTAGGTGTGATGTGGTACTGATAAGAATGTATGTTTTGTGGATTTGGGGTGGAGAGTTATGTAAATGTTTGTTAAGTTTACTTATTTCAGGTCTGAGTTCAAGTCCTGGATATCCTTGTTAATTTTCTGTCTCGTTGATCTGTCTACTATTGACAGTGGAGTGTTAAAGTCTCCCACTATTATTATGTGGGAGTCTAAGTCTCTTCGTAAGTCATTAAGAACTTGCCTTATGTATGTGGGTGCTCCTGTATTGGGTATGTATATATTTAGGATTGTTAGCTCTTCTTGTTGCATTGATCCTTTTACCATTATGTAATGTCCTTCTTTGTCTCTTTTGGTCTTTGTTGCTTTAAAGTGTATTTTATCAGAGACAAGAATTGCAACTCCTGCTTTTTTTTTTTTTTTTTTGCTCTCCATTTGGTTGGTAAATCTTCCTTCATTCCTTTGTTTTGAGTCTTTGTGTATCCTTGCATCTGAGATGGGTCTGGATGAAGCATACTAATGGGTTTTGGCTTTTTATCCAATTTGCCTGTTTGTGTCTTTGATTGGGGCATTTAGTCCATTTAAATTTGGGATTGATATTAACATATATGAGTTTAATACTGCCATTTAATGCTAGCTGGCTGTTTTGCCCATTAGTTGATGTAAATTCTTCATTATGGTGATGCTCTTTACTTTTTGGTATGTTTTTGGAATGGCTGATACTTGTTGTTCCTTTCTATGTGTAATCCTTCTTTCAGAAGCTCTTGTAAAGCAGGCCTGGTGATAATAAAATCTCTGAGTACTTGCTTGTTCACAAAAAATTTTATTTCTCCTTCACGTATGAAGCTTAGTTTGGCTGGATATGAAATTCTGGGTAGAAAGTTCTTTTCTTTAAGGACATTGAATATTGGCCCCCACTCTCTTCTGGCTTGTAGGGTTTCTGCTGAGAGATCTGCTGTGAGTCTGATAGGCTTCCTTTTGTGGGTGACCTGACCTATTTCTCTGGCTGCCCTTAGTATTTTCTCCTTCATTTCAACCCTGGTGAATCTAATGATTATGTGTTTTGGGGTTGCTCTTCTTGAGGAATATCTTTGTGGTGTTCTCTGTATTACCTGGAGTTGAGTATTGTCCTGCCTTGCTAGGTTGAGAAAGTTTTCCTGGATGATATCCTGAAGAATATTTTCCAGCTTGTATTCATTCTCTTCATCACATTCAGGTACACCTATCAAACGTAGGTTAGGTCTTTTCACATAGTCCCATATTTCTTGGAGACTTTGCTCATTCCTTTTTAGCCTTTTTCTCTAACCTTGTCTTCTTGTTTTATTTCATTAAGTTGGTCTTTGACCTCTGATATCCTTTCTTCTGCTTGATCAATTTGGCTATTAAAACTTGTGCATACTTCGCGAAGTTCTTGTATTGTGTTTTTCAACTCAACTCTATTACTTCACTTATATTCCTCTCTAAATTGTCTATTCTTGTTAGCATTTCGTCAAACCTTTTCTCAAGGTTCTTAGTCTCTTTGCATTGGGTTAGAACATGTTCTTTTAGCTCACGGAAGTTTCTTATTATCCACCTACTGAAGCCTGATTGACAATTCATCACACTCATTCTCCATTAGGCCTTGTTCCGTTGCGATTCCGTTCAGATGAGGAGCTGTGATCCCCTGTAGGAGGAGAGACATTCTGATTTCAGCCTTTTTGCACTGGTTTCTTCCTGTCTTTATGGATTTACCCACCTGTTGGCTTTGTAATTGCTGACTTTCAGATCAGGTCTCTGAGTGGACGTCCAGCTTGTTGATGATGAAGTTTTTTCTGTTTCTTAGTTTTCCTTCAGCAGACGCCCCTCCCCCACAGAGCTGGACCTTCCCAGGTTCAGCTGTGCTTGCTGTGAAACTCTCAATCTTCAGCGCTTCCAATTGCTGTTTTTTTGTGGGGGTGGGACCAGCCGAGCCCAGTCACCTGGCTCCCTGTCTCAGAGCCTCTTCTTCTTCTTTTTTT